TTCACACACACATTCACACACTGATGGTGATGAGCTACGATGTAGCCACAGCTGCCCTGAGGCGCACTGACAGAGGCGAGGCTGCTGAGCACAGGTGCCACCGGTCCCCCCGACCACCACCAGCACACTCAACAGAACTTGTGAGACTTAAATCAGAGAACCGAGCGAGAGTGGACAGAAAATTCACCCCCCTTTTGGTTCGATTCAAGTTGGGTTATCAGATTTATGGGTTGTATCATCCAGGTAAGTGGAACCCTTGTGTGGTTTGATTTGGTTCCTGTGGACCCACTTCTATCAATCAATCAATCAATCAATCAATCAAAGCTTTATTTATAAAGCGCCTTCCGCAACCCTGTCAGGAAGCCCAAGGCGCTGAACATGGTACAGTAGAAGTACAAATATAGTGGATAAATCAAAAATAAAAGCAATTCAGAGATAAAAGCAATTCAAATTACAAAATACAAATTACAAAATACAAATTACAAAAAAGGTGGAACATTCTAGTTCAGGACATATGGGTAAAACATGGGATAAAGTGATCCAATGAAAACTGAAAGAAATTCAACGTAAAAGAGGGCCGAATCAAACATGTTCAGGAAACGCCAAGCGGAGAAGGTGTGTTTTTAGGTGACTCTTAAAGGCTGGCAGAGATGGGGACAGCCTAACTGAGGGTGGCAACTGGCACTTATACATAAATGAGTTACATCTGAGTCTTTGTAAGAAAACGACTTCAGGACAATTTACAAAGCAAATAGATCCCAATTGAACAACTATTCATAACATTTTTACCACACTTGTCATTTCATACAAGTTGAGCAACAAATCTCCAACTTTTCAGGAGACTGAAGTTATCTGATTGGTTCAGCAGGTGGCAGAGTTGAGCTGTTATCTGTATGGGTGGAACAGAAACGTCACCTGTAAGTAAGCAAGTAGTACATTTTATGTATGTAGCACTTATCGCAGACATAGAATCACAAAGTGCTTCACATAGATCAAAACTAAATAAAACAAAGTCATTAAATCAGAATGATCTTAAAATAGAATTAGATTAACATCAGAAAAAATAAAGTCATAAAATGATGACATTTCATAAACAGATCAGATGAAAGATTACAAATTTGATTTAAAAATAAGGAAATAAAAGGTTTAGGTCAAAGCAGCTTTAAATAAAAGGGTCTTCATCTGTTTTTTAAAAAGTGTCCAGACTGTCGACGCTGCGTGAGGATAAAAGAAGATCATTCCAGAGTCGAGGTGCAACAGTCGACTTTTTATCTGGTCTTTGGAACTTCTAGAAGGTTCTGGTGTGTGGACCTGAGGGCTCGGGTTGGAGCACAAGGCTTTAACAGTTCAGTAATATGGAAAGTTGAAAGTTATAGTCAGGACTCTAAAGTTTTTATAATAATTTATTTTTCAGGTTTTTAGTCAAGCCATAAACATATACGATTATAATCAAAATAAGAATAAAAACAATAGACTTACAAGAAACAAAAAAAAGGGGGGGGGGGGCTGCCAGACCACATTGTAAACAGAAAGGTATATAAAGCTGTTACTATTCAGCACATTTACAGATGATAGAGCTAAATTACATTGGGTATGTTTCAGCACCAGTCATGAATCCAAACCATTTCACCAGCTAGATAACCTTGTGGTTGGTTAGGAAAGGCCTCCAGCCCTCCTCAAGCTTGCTGCGAGAGCCAGTCTTGTGCGGATGTAGCAATTCCAGTTGAATGACATGTAGCATCTCTGTGAGCCGACGTCCAAAGGAAGGTGGGGTTGTAGATTTCCACTTCAGAAGAATGAGTTTTTTGGCCACAACCATCCCTAACTGTAGAGCGGTCCCCGTGTGCTGTGGCAGCCGAGGAGCCAGCGAAGGACATCCAAGAACTGCCAGTGTGGGAGTGGGCTGAATGTCTCCACCGTATACATCTGAAAAACATTTAAAGATCACAGATCAGAATCCGCTCAATGAAGGACAGAAGCAGAATAAATGTGCTAACGAACCTTCTGCTATATGACACTTGTCACACTCAGTAGACACAGATGGGAACATTTTGTTCAATTTTATTTTAGAGTAATGCAGCCTGTGTAGAACCTTAAACTGGATCAATCTAAGGCGAGAGTTGACGGAACAGCAGGTAATCTGAGATAATGCTTCTTCCCAGAGTGCCTCAGACACCTCACAGTTCAGGCCCACTGCCCAAGCCTCTGTAAGAGAGTCTGAGGAAACTGTGGCAGCAAAGCAGCTAACAAACTTTGACACAATCCGCCTGGAGTTTGGAGAAAGCAAAAAATTTGCATATATTTCTATGTCGATGGTAAAATCAGATTCCAAATTCTCTGTTGAAGTTGCATCTAATTTAGGGAGGTTGAGATGATCAAAAAAACTGTCGTAATCCTGTTGTGATGCAGTTGATTTGGAGGTATAAATATCAGTATAAAACTCCTTGAATCTCTCATTGATGTCCTTCAAATCGGTAAGCAACTGGCCCAATTTGGATTTTATTTTATGAATAGCTCGTTTTGCCTGATCACCTTTTAGTTGTCTAGCTAATAATTGTTGTGGTTTACCACCAGATTCAAAATGTTTTTGTTTAATTTTGAGAAGCTTTTTACTAATTTGGCCCCCTAAAATAGAATTATAATCGTATTTACATTTTAGAATTTAACAAATATATGTAATGGAACAGATGACATCTATACTGCAAATGAAGGTGGATCGGTTCCGGGATAGATGGGAGTGTGTCGAGCAATACTTAGTAATGTGAGGTATTAGGTTGTTGTTTTGCCTGTTGTCTACTCTGATGTCAATGTGGATTTTGCTATTATGAGAATGGGGGTTGTAAAGGTGAAGGGAAGAAAGGAGAAGAGAGAGGGAGGTGAAGGGGCAAAAAACTTAATTTTAGCAATGAAACTAAATGACTGTATTTCTATTCTTTACAGAATGTCTTCTCTTTTTTTTATTTATTTAAAATTAATTAATTTATTTGTTTCTTTTTGCTTTTGTGACTGTTCTGCTCAACGTCATGGTTTGTTAAACCAAGTTGTACAATGTCAAACTTAAAATAAAAAGTAACAAAAAAATTTATTTTAGAATTTTATTATAATCTGATTGAGACATCGAGTTCTGGTGGATCTGATCTGCAGTAGACAATTCCTGCTCAATGTCTTGTAATCTGTTTCTTTTAGATTTATTTAAGGAAGCTTCATAGAAGTTAACCAAACCCCTGACATATGCCTTAAGCGTTTCCCATATGGTTGAGTCTTCTACCTCACCTACGTCACCTTAGCTCGTAGTTTCTTATTCTCAGACTGTGGATCAACAACTGAATGATCCATTGCGCTAATGCGTAGCTCATGGTCTGTAGCTTGACTCTCAGTGGTGGATAGCCTGTCGGCTAGCGCTTGCTGGGCCACCAACAAGCTCTGAAAACTCTGCTCAACCTTGTCAAACCTCTCATTGGACTGCAGAAGCTTGTTTGACATATTTTGCCACATCAGAGGGAGCTCGTCCTCTTTATCCTCTGGATCATGGTCCATCAGCGAAGCCAAGCCCTTTATTCTAGGGCTGCTGCAGCTAATGTTAGCCATGGCCGCTCCCTCAGGCCCATGTGTGCTCCTCGACATGTTTTCTTCCCGGTTCTTAGTAATGTATGTAGAAAGGGACACAGGATCACTTCTTTCGCGTTGAAAGGGCGTTTCAAAAAGGTGGTTAAAATTAGATAATATTTGTGCCACGAGGAGCTTAAAAAATGCCTCTATTCCTCACCCATCTCACTAGCACCCCCCAATGAACTCTAAAGTTAACGGGTAACCAGTGCAGAGACATTAGAATAGGAGTGATGTGTGCTCTTCTGTTTGCTCCAGTTAGAAGCCTCGCTGCAGAGTTCTGGACCAACAGGAGGCGGTCAAGCGCTTTTATGTTAAAACATGTGAAAAGTGTTAAAGTAATCTAGACGGGAGGAGATAAAGGCATGGAGAACCATTTCAAGTTCATGTTTTGACACCAACCTTCGCAGTTTGGAGATATTTCTTAAGGGCTAAAAGCAGTTTCAGACCAATGCTTTTGAGTGACCTTCAAGAGACATTGATTGGTCAATACCCAAATTCCTTAATTTTATCCAGACGGAAAAGGACAATTGACCAAGTTTTAGACTAATCAGAGGAACCATGCTCTCAGGGGCAATGGTCAGACATTCAGTGTTTTCAGAATTTAACCGAAGGAAGTTATTTTCCAGCCAGCTGGGGATAGCTGATAGACACTCTAGTAATTCAGACAGTTTGTAGAGCTCAGAATCCTTAAAGCAGCACAGCTGAATGTCATCTGCATATAGGTGATGAGAGACATTAGGAAAAGAATCAATTATCTGTCCAAGAGGGTGTATGTACAGTAGTGCACATTACTGTTTTTATGCTTTTATTCTTCGTTTGGAAATAAAACTATATTAAAAGATTTCTGAGATTTTTTGTTCACTTAGAGAAACTATTTTGTTTCATTGATCCATCTTCTGGAGCTGTTTCAGGGCTCAAACGGAACTTGTCTTGTCTCCTCAGAGAGGAGAGACAGGCGGGGTGCACCCTCCAGTCCCTGAGAGAGGTATGTCCATCAAGGGACAGAAACAGGACACAACCACCAATACCAAAGTCCCTACAACGGATATTTGTGTTTATGAGACAAAGTAGAGAAAGCATGCATGAGGAGAACATGGACATGTGGCTGCAGCCAGGAGTTGAACCTGCAACCTTGATTTGGTGCGAGGCAACATGCAGCCCTACCCTATGCGTCACAAGTTATTATCATGTTTATTTGTAGGGCCTAGATTTTAAGAGCAGCGCAGCCAGCGGCTGTCTGCGTCACGCTGCTGGAGCCTCGTGCGTCACCGGAGTAACGTAAATTACGCACATCGTTTTCAGGTGAGATCTGTCTGATGACTCTCCAGGTGAACAGGTGGGAGCTGGCTGGAGCTCCTCGGTGAGGAGGAAGATCATATGTGGGCGGATTTGGACAGGCAGACGAAACCAACAAGTCCAAACAGAACCACGTCTCCGCTGCGATGGTGGTTTAGTCCCGTTGAGCAGGTTCTGGTCGCCGCCGGGGTTTGTTTTTGGCTCTCTCCCCCAGTTGGAGCCTTCTTCACTTGTTGCTCCTCCTTCTCCTCCTCCCGCTCCTCCTCCTCCTTGGTTTACTAAGGTCGCAGCTGAGGAAGGAAACTGGAGGTAGTCTGAGAAGAGCTGGACCAGAACTGAGCGCAACAGAGACGCAAACCGAGATGGCTGAGAATAAAGCGGGTCCGAACCTCCAGGCTGGAGCGGGATTCCTGGCCAAAAGGGTCCAGAAGTCCTTGAGTCGTGCACAGGAGAAGGTGGGTGTGTGAGTTTTTCTCTGGTTCCGTTAAGCGGTGTCATGAGACTCAGCGGGTTTTATCAACCAGACTCAGTGTGGAGGTTCGGCTGGGGAAAGGACTAAATCTGAGCGGAATAAGTTTGATTTCACCACTTTAATCTGAAATCTGGTGGAAAAGGAGAATTAATTTTAATTCTGCTTCAAGAAGTTCGATAAGGGGAAAAAACCTCCCGTTTTCATGCTGGTGTTCAGACCTTCAGGTGCACCTCCAACAGCCTTTAAGCAAAGACAAGACCTCCTGATGGACAGGAGCTAAAGCAAACCCGTGTGACTGATCCCTGGCTGCTCTTGGAACTTCACCAGTCTGATGCAGAATAGTCCTCCTGCTCGGTGCTGGTAGGGCCTACAGCTGGGTGCAGACATGCTGAAGTTGTCACTTCCTGACTGAACAACTTCCTCTTGCTTACTTTGTGCCTCTGGTTTGATTTCAGAGCTCCAATTCAAAACAAACTGTGTTTCAAACGCACCTGCCACAGACCACAGGGTGTTTGGTTTAGCCATTTTTTTCCCCTTTCACCAAAAATGTGTCTGCCGGTAATCCTTTCTTTGCAAAAACAGAGAACCAGGTGGTCCATTTACACTTTAGCGTTGTGATGTTGGTGTTTTTCCCTTTGCCTGTTCCACTCACACACCTCCACTCTGTAAGCTGAAAAATCTGCTTCACTAATTAATCATTAAAGGCCAGACACGCCTAGAACAAATGCACGATGCTCGGCTTTCCATGTTAACGGGGGTGTTGTGTTTAGAAAGGGAGCCAATCTGCTTTGGTCAAATCTTGAACATTGAGTGATCTCGTATCACAACATCTTGCTATATGTCGGCACTGAATGTATGTGAGGAACACCCAGCGACTAATGTGTGGATGCTTAAAGGTACACCACAAAATGATGACAAAACTGTCTTAATAATGAAGGTTACACTGAAACAGATTCCCCTGTCAGCCAGTTGGGGGTTGGCAGTTTTACTCCGTTTAAAAAGGCAGCAGCATTTGGTAAAGACCTGAAACCAGTAAACGGGAGCGACCCAGAAGTTGTCTCTTGTACTGCTAAGAAGCCACGGGTTCTTTTTTTTTTTTTTTTTTCTTATCGGGTAGAGCAGGCTAGAAGCTAATGTTGAGCTAACAATGCTAACGATGATTGGGAAACGAATAATTGCCTCAAAAATATATTTAAAGCTACCTTTTCAGATACCAACAACTTGAAATTGAAGTGAAATCTACTTATAAACTTGCTGCGTTTGACTCGTCTTCACTTGTCATCTAGAATCTTCTGGTGCTTATCCTTAACTTATAGCCATGAAACTGGCGAATGGGAGGTCCTGAGAGCGGACTTGTTTGTTTTGAAAATGGACTGCAGTACCCAAAATGGACCACGGAATGTCATTGTTACTTCCTCCTTGCTTCATACACTTGTGATTTAAAACACTTTAACCCTTTATAAGGCACTCATTGTAGTATTTAATTTTTTATTTCAACCTCAGGATGTAATTGTAGTCCATAAAGTGTATTTCTGATGTTACCATTTTCAAAAATATTTATTTTCATGCAGAAAATCAGAGAAAACTAAGTGATCAAATATGGACGTTGGCCCTGTTCTGGTAAAAGAAATCCCAAAATAAAATAACACGAACAAGTTAAATAAACATTATTTTTTTAATAATATAGATAATTATAAGACACTTTAAGAATAATCCCAATTATTAAAACTATATAGAATATTTTTATGAAAATTTGTTGTGAAATATGTTAGAAAAGTTATTGAACAATAGAAACTATTTCTGATCAAATATAGATAGTTAGAATATTTTATTTTTGAGGATCTGCCTCAATGTCGTCTTCCTCCTGTTCATCATCACCACTGATTGGTTGGTGCAACAACTATCCTCCATTTTCCAGACAAATACTTGTTTAAAACTGCTAAATATATTCATAATTGTTTTTACTGTTGCCATCAATGTTAAGATTGTCTAAAAACAGATTTGCCCTAAAATATTAATATTTTTAAAATTTTCCTTGTTCAGGGCGTACGTTCAAATATGGCAGATTGATTTTCATGCTATGATTTCACCAACTTCACAGAGTTTAACATTTACAACACACGTATCCTTATTTAGCACAACTAGTCAACCGTGTGATGTGAGAGTTTCATAAACCTAGCGTTGTTAGTTTTAGAGATCTGACTGTAAACACGAGAGGAGACCGAGCAGTTTTCTGGCTCTGCGACACATCAACATTAGGCGCGTTAGAGCCCCACACTGATTGGTGGAATGTTGCCACGGCGTGAACCGTGACTTGCTTGATCTCTGTTGATTGGCTGGGTGAAATCCCGTAATTCTAAGAGTTTGTGAAAAGGCACACCGACATAATTTATGCGAATGGAAGCACTTTAATATGGACGTTGGCTCTTTAAAGGGTTAATGAATTTAATTTAGTGTGATTGACTTCAAAAGTCAAACTTTAGATGTGCATCTGGGGATTACCAAGATCAAAACTAGTCAGTTAACCCTAACCCTAGCTAACAAGCACACAGAGGCAAAAGCACCATCACCTTTTTGCAGTGGGTCACTATTAGTTGTTTGAAATTCATCACCTAGTCACAATCTGGAGGATTTGGTCCTGAAGACCCTGCTCTTCAGAGAGCATCTTCTAAACTAGCATCCCCCCCCCCCCCCCCCCCCCGGTCCACTCCTTTGTTCCCTCCTCTCCATGATTGATGTCAAGTTGTTGTTATTGTTGTTGTTAGCCTCAAGGGCAACATGCCGATTATCACTTGTAAGTCGCTTTGGACAAAAAGTGTCTGCTAAATACATAAACATAAACATTTGGTGCCATCCAACGGGAAAGTTGTAGGTTGAATTTGGCCAAATATTCCACCTAGTCCTCTAAATCGTTGATCCTATCCAGCATGTTTTAGTTGTTTCCCCTCTTTTAACACACCTGATTTTTATCAGCAGGTGATTAACGGGCTTCTGCAGAGCTTGATCTGCTGAACAGATGAACGAAGTGGGTCGGAGCAGGAAAACTACTTGCATGCTTGATGGTGCCCCTCGGGAAAAGGGGGTTGGGGGTCACGGCTCTAAACTCTTATCGTGTGGTCTGTCCTGAGCCTGTGAGATTGCGCCATACCCAAGTTGCTCAATTTTAAACTTGTGCAAACACAAGGCATGCAGATAATTCATTTAGTGCTACAAGTCAGTCATTCCTGCAAGAGGGTCCATCACAGCTGCTCCAGACTTCACTAGGATTCTATAATAAATAGATTTTTTATTTTTACCTCCACATAACTACAGATTTGCTGTAAGGGTTAGCGCTCTGAAAAGCCCCGTTATGATTGGTCAGCTTTAATGGAATCAACAGCCACTGCCTCTGACTTTTGGCTAAATCCCAAAACTTTCTTGTTGTGAAATGGTTATTCCTTCCTAATGTAACCTTATTCATCCATTCATTCAGTCACTGGCAGCTCTTACGAGATGACACTCGTCACCATGTGGTGAAGAGTTGTTTTCATGACTACGACGGCTTTATCCATCACAGCAGTAGTCGCCTCCAGGAAGGATTAAGGTAACAATCGGCCAGTGTCTGTTTATCTTCTGCTGGTTCAGAACTCTGCAGCCAGACACCAAACTGGTACCAGGAAGAGACGTATTTGGGTGTCTGTGTGCCCGCGCCTCGGAGGCCTTGAAGCGCTTATTTCTGGTTTTTAAAACCTGGTCTTTTATTTCACATGTTCTGATTGTGTTTTAGCTGTTACTTTGGGATGTTAAACAGCATCCTGGTCTACTCTGGTTTTTAAAATGTGCTTTACCGCAAAGGGGGTACAAACATTAATTGTTCTCTGATTTTAAAATCTAAGAGAATTTAAATAAACTTGGGGAAACTACAATAAAACTTATAAAGTGTTTTAATGTTTTTTTTTTTTTTACTGGAAATGAAGTGCTAAATATTTTCTGTTAACCTGCTAGACTGATTTCTTAGTCGGGTTGTGATGTAGAGAAACTCAGTTTTGGTTAAGGCTAGCTTTGGTGGTCGTATTTAGTTGTAACTGTGTTTAGGGTGGGAAGCCCTGTTTATCTGCTCCTACACACCTGGCTCAATGACCCAACCACTGAGGCCCTGTCCACACGTAGCCGGGGATCTGCCAAAACGTAGATATTTTCCTACATTTTGGCCTGTCATCCACACGAAAACTGAGTTTTTTCACACGAAAACTGATCTTTTTAATAACTCCGGCCAAAGTGAAGATCTGCGTTTTCTCCATTTTGGGTGTCTGCGTGTGGACAGACAAAACCGGAGTTTTAAGGTCCGCAACGTCACTTTCCGCGACAAAAAAATGCTGACATGACGTGTGCGACCTGTGTTTATACTAGCCGGCAGCATGGATGCCCTCAGAGCTGCGCTCTGTCACTACCCGATCCATCAATTGTCCAAGCGCTTTCTGCTTGTTTGTTTTTTCAAGCGGAATTACTGCTCCTTGCGGAAGACTACAGACGAAGGACGAGGTTAAGAACGGGGGAAGTGCTGCCGCCTACAGGTCTGGCATGTCCTTAACAACGCATTTATCCGGGTACGTGTGGACAGAGTTTGTTTTTAAAACGCGGTGGTGTGGATGCAAGTTTTTGGAGGGGCAGATATTCGTTTTTAAATAAACCCGGCTACGTGTGGACTAGGCCTGAGTCAGGTGGGTAGGCTGGATCATCAGGCTCTGCAGAAGCCTGTTAATCACTCATTGATTAAAACCAGGTGTGTGGTGAAGCAGGGATCCAGTCAGGTATTTTTCTAACTGAAACTGGGTCGACTTGAACAGCTGGTGTCTGTTGTGCTGCCATGTGGGTCTCTGAACACTTCAGACACGAGTAAAAACCGTCCCTCTGTTTTCTGTCAGTGTTTGGTTTCAAGAATCATACAAGCGGTTTGAAAAAGTCCCCTATTGTGATGTCACAATAGGGAGGAGGAGCAGTAACTCTACTCTGAGCCCCTCCTAAATGACCATTTTAGTGGATTTGACCTGTAACCTTTTACATGTACGTCCATTTATTGCCTTAAAGTTTAGTTTGTCTGGCGCGTATTTTCCATGCAAACATGCACAGTGACGGGCAAAAGCATCGCTATACTTATGATGAACGCTACCATGAGATGCTGACGCTTTCTCCTTTAACATTTTATTAGGTTCTTCAGAAGCTGGGGAAAACCATGGAGACCAAAGATGAGCAGTTTGAGCTCTGTTTGCTGAACCTCAACAAGCAGCAGGTAACTAAACAAACTTCCATCCCTTCATGGATTCATGGCGAGCTCGGCCCATACTTGGTTCTACGCTCTGACTGATGTAGGAGATGGTTTTAAGATTTGCTTTGATAGCAAAACAACTTCAGACTCGTCGCCATAGGCTTCCAGGCAGGAGGAGGCTAAAGCAGAGCGGGTTTTGTTTCAGACGTTGCATCAGAGGCGAGCTCACAAGTCCAGACAATCGCCTTGTCCTTGAAATCAGCACTCTGAACAACATCTGACTCTCATTCCCTTATCAGCTCTGCACCAATACTGAGGGTTTCGTCTTCAGCATACAGCCTAGCAGCAACGGCTGGGATTATTAAGAGGAAGTGTTGTAAAAAATGTCTAATTTAGGAAACTAACTGAACTCTGATCTAAGATCAGAATTAAAATTCATGAAAATAGATGAATGGTTTGTCTTTTGAGCTCATAATCAGAAAATAAATAAACATTTATAAATCTACTGAGGGGTTCTAGCTAATATACTACTGTTGGACATTAGTGTGCTCTGGGTTTTGGTAATGAACAGACAAAGGTGTAAAACTGCTGATGTAATAGTTTGGTAAAGCCTTTAGTTTATGTTCCTGTTCCACTCTTACTTTATTTTCAGGGGTTACCGTGGTGACACCAATGAGACACTGGCAGTAGCTTTACCATTTATTGGGCCTTTATGATTTTATACATTTTATAAATCCAACATGGACATTTGGTCTCAGCTGTCAGGACGTCGTTCACATCCTTCACAAAAGCCCTCCATCTTCTGGTTCTACAGACTTTATTACACCGAGTTTCCCGTGTATGTATTTATATCTGCTTTGGCCTCTACTCTGTTGAAGCTTCAGCAGACGGCTGCTGTAGGGAAACGGGAGGAACAACAGGAAGGAAGTGAGGGTGGTGAAAACCTGCTGCTTTCACTTCACTGTTTCCATCAAACAGCTGCTGTTTAAATCATGTAAACTCTCGGTGGTTCATCTTTGATGAACTGGTGAAAGTCGAGCCACCAAAGCACTCGGACCATAATTTCAGGTTAATGAAACAAAGTGATGATCATCCCCACAGATACTGCTGGTGTGTTCTTAGTCCTCACTTCTGATTTACAGTGTGCTTCCTCCCCACAGGCTGACGGGAACAGGTTGTTTAAAGATGTCAGATCCTACTACGCAGCAGTGAGAGGTGGGTCTGCCCATGCTGGCTCTAAGCCATTACCAGATGAGAAAGTTGGTCTCAGATGGAGGAAGTAGATTTCTTCTATTCTTGGATTCTCTGACTCTTGCATATTGTTGCTGAGTTGCTGAAGTAAAGTCCTGCAGATAGAACAGCGGGGCTTGTTTTCTACTTCCAGTCAGGAAACTGGTGTTCTGACATTCTTCAGTGTGTGTGTAGCAGCACAAACCCTCAAACAATCCAACCTAAAGGTCGTGTGTCTGGTTAAGCGGAACCCTGTGGAGTCCCGAGTTCTGGTGTTCAGCCTCCCGTAATGTCCGGTGCTTTTCCACAGCCGTGCACGAGGCGTCCAAGCGGCTGTCCCAGACTCTAAAGGACGTCTATGAAACCGACTGGGAGGGAGTGGAGGACCTGTCTGTTATCACAGAGGTGAGGTGGAATTTTCCGGCATCGATGGCCGAGCAGCCTTCAGCCATAGAGATGTTTAAATCAGAAGTTTCCTCTCCTCTTTAAAACCCCCTGAAGGTTTTTGCTGTTTTCCACTGAGGGGAAAGTTCACAAGTGGTGTTCAGTTAAAATATTATGAAGAATTCATCTAATGAAGCGCTCCCTGAACCACCTCAGTTTGGAGAAATGCAGATTAATTCTGACCCTTTCTCTCAACACTGATTCTTCTAAATGTAGAGTTTCTGTGGATGTAAGGTCTGACTTACGTCCGGCTAGATTCAGTGATTAGTGTCTGGTTGTTGCTGCTGTGAGCCAAACTCCAGATGTGCTCATGGGTTTGTGACGGTTTCAGAGTGAGAACCTGCTGTTGAACGACCACGAGGAGAAGCTGAACGATCAGGTTGTCCACATCATGGAGAACTACACAAGCCAGTTTCCAGAAGTCAAGGTATTCATGCATCTGGAGCCAAGCACTATTAAAGTCCTGTAGCACTAACACTTATGTAAATCCACACATTTGTTCTTGGTCTGGGACAAACAGGAACGGGTTTCAAAGCGTAATCGTAAGCTGGTGGATTACGATTCGGCTCGCCATCATCTGGAAGCTGTGCAGAGTGCAAAGAAGAAGGATGAAGCCAAGGTTTCCAAGGTACGCCAACCACAGCACGAGTCCTCATAACAGAGAAAATGTGCTAGGTCATGGTTTCTGTTTGGTTTTTCTTTAACCGCTTTCATCAGGTGGAGGAAGAGTTCAACAAAGCCCAGAATGTCTTTGAAGAGATAAATAATGAGCTGCGAGAGGAGCTGCCTGTTCTCCATCAGAGGTACCAGCAGCTCAGACGGACCTCGCTAATCTCGCGTGTCGTGTAGACGAGCTGACGTTTTGTTTTTCTCTGCAGTCGAATCGGTTGTTATGTGACTGTGTTCCAGAACATCTCCAACCTGAGAGACGTCTTCTATAAAGAAATGAGTGTGGTGAGACTGGTCAACTCCATCGCTGAAACGGAAAATGGGCACGTTCTTGGCGACGACACCAGGAACGTGTACTTATGCTGCACTTTATTTATTTCACAGCTGAATCGTGAACTGTACAACGTGATGAAAAAACTGGAGACCCAGCACTCGGGCAAAGCTTTCATCATCAAAGGTTTGAACAGGTAGGACATTTTAAAATGGACCTGGATGAGCTGAAGCTCCATTTATGCGCCCTGTATTCTCAGCATGTAAGCAACACGCATTAAAGACGTCCTTCACTGAGGAACAGGTTTTATTTTTAAATGATGAGCGGTAACTCTGAGTTTAACATGCAGGCTGAACATGAAAATGGTCTCTTACACCTCTCTCCTGCATTAGCATCTGAGAGGAAACAGAAGGCGAAACTCTAGGGCGGGGCTATTCAGTTCTGGGCCTCGAGGGCCGGTATCCACCGCGCTTTAGTTTTAAACCTGCTTCGACACACCTGATGTCAATCAGCAGGTGATTAACGGACTTCTGCAGAGACTGATGAGCTGCTGCACAGGTGAGTCAACCACTGAATCAAGTGTGTTGGAGCAGAGAAACCACTAAAACATGATGGATATCGGCCCATGAGGCCCAGAATTGAACGTTCCTTGTCTAGGATTAACCCCGACAGATCTACGCCGCGCCGTCGCCTGGACTTGCCCATCGATGCTTGCAATGGCGAAGGCTGCTGTTGGTTTAGAATCCAGGAAACAGCAGAGAATGCCTAAGCTAGTAAAAGCTAACCGTTACCATTAGCAACTCCACCACATGGCAGAACTCCTCCGTTAGCGGAGACTGTTGGCCAATCAGAGCGGAGCTGTCTGAATATCAGGAAGTAAGACTTCAAATCCTCTGAAGCTACGTCCTCTTCCAGCTGAATTCTCTGTGCTGAAGGAGGTGCATCTGAGCCCCCCCCCCCCCCCCCCCCCCCCCCCCAAGTATGACTTCAAAGGCATTCATTCCTACTAGAGACCACAGCAAAGGTATTTAAGTACGAGTGAACCCATGAGCCGAGCAGAAGGGGAGGAGCCTACCTATAATCACCTGTTGACAGTTTTGGGTGAATGGTTGTGTGTATCTCTTGGAGTTTGTGTTGAATACTTTTTTTTTTTTTTTTTTTTTAGGGATGCAAAGATGCACTTTTTTCCAAACCGATATGTGGATCAGAGTATTTGCCGATACCGATACTTCTACCACACAAAAAATGCTATGAATTGGAATACAGGTTTTATTTTCTTTGCTTTCAACAGGAAATTACTGTGAGGTAGATAAAAAGTAAAATATAAATAGAAATGATCACAAATGGCAAGCTAAGGTGAAGCCACTTTCAAGCAACTGCACTGGTATTGGTTCCTGGTATTGGTATCTGTGCATCCCTACTTTTTTTTATGAAGACCCAGTTTACACACACATCTTTCCTCCTCTTCCTTCAACCTTAAGGACGTACCGTGTTACAGCGAGGGCTCTAACAATCAGATCTTTCTGCCATGAGCTCTACTCGGAGGCGCATCGCTTTGATCACAAATGGGGATATTAAACGTGCTGGATTGTTTTGGTTTGATATTTGGGACAAAGACGTGTGCCATGTTTTTGAATGTGACTTGTAGCAGTCTGAAGGTGAGGTGACGAAAGCATGCTGCACACCCCTCCGCCGCCATGTTTACTCCACCGTCACAGTTTACCTCGGGAGGTTTTGCTAGTGCGCTCGCTGTTTGGCCACACACCCCAAACTGTAGGACAAATGCTGTGCTATGAGCTGTTTTTATATTGCCACATTCGTAGTCCCGTCCAGTTTACAAATCCTGCTGTCTGAACCGGGCCCAAGGCAGCATCAGTCAAACCCACTAGGACGGCTGTGAGAGCAGTCTCAGTGGGGTGACTCCTTAAGGTTATCGGTGGCCTTCTGTGGTTCAGGATGTACATTTCATGCAGACAAAGCTGACTTAACGGTTTAAACAAGCACCTTGGTGAGCTGCAGGGGCGGCGTTAGGCCCGGCTACTTGGGCTGAAGCCCCAGATCTTTAATCAAAAGCCCCGGATCTCAAACGCGGAAGTAACATGCAGTACCAAAGTCCAACAGAGAGGGAGCAGCTGGCAGTAGTTTGTATACTGCCTGCCTGAGCCTCCACCACTGAAGAAGAAGCCCTTCAGCAGCCGGCTTCTTCTACACTCTCTGCCTGAAACGCATGAGTGAAGATGGACATGAGGACGTTTTTTAGACAAAAAGTACAACGACAGAACCCCAGCTTTGATGAGACTGGTGTTGACTCAGGTTTGTGAGTCTTATTTGAAAATATTTGTTGTGCCTAAAGTTAGCTTATCAGGTAAAGTTGTTGGAGAAAGAACGGGAATATTTACTATCATCTCACACTAAACACTAACAGGAACAATACTCTGCCCTGAATATGCTTAATATGGAGCTTCAGATTAAAAATTATGTGGTACAAGACACATATATGATGTTGACTAGTGCGTGTCACATGTGTGCGCGCGTGTGTGTGTGTGTGTTAAGCCCTGGATCTTCTTCAGTCCTTAATCCGCCCCTCGTGAGCTGTGTGGCTTGGAGAAGAATCTCACAATCTCACTCATCCAAACTGACATCCGAAGCGCTGGCTAAGTTGGACATCCTTTTGCTTGGTGGTGCTGGGCTTGTTAAAGGAATATTTTGCTGACAGAGGCCCAAAGGTCAGCCTGTTGCATTGGTCTGATATGCGATGAAGAAACTGTATTTCAAACAAGCAAACACATGGTTTAACACCTAAGCTCTGTGTTTATGTACTGAAACGCCCTCCTCCCTGGGAGGGGCTTTGTTTACGGGGTTGATTTGCACGGTGAGGCACGGGTTGTCCTGACTCTGCAGGAAACGCTCAGATGATTATGGAGGCCCTCTGGAGCTGTGTGCATTAGATCTTTCTGGCTATTGCTGCCCAGGATGATGACTCAAAACTGTAATCCAGTTTTAGTGATGTATGACACGATTGCAGACACGGAGGCCCCTGCTTCAGAACAAATGTCCATCAGGACAACATGTTCTGTTAGCTCTGATGTTGAAAAATGAGCAAAACAAGAAATATTCTTGAGTCAGATGTAAGAACATCTACAACTCCAGGCCTTATGGGAAAGAACCGAAAACCTCAGAAGAATCATGAATGATGTTTCTTACCAAATATACATGAGCAAAACTCAATGTGTTTAAAAAGCTCTGCATCAGTCAGGTGCTGCAGATCAGATGCATTTATAGACAAATAAGTGGTGTGAGCGCCTCTATAAAAGCAGAAGTTATGGCTTTTGTTTCTCTGGAGCATACAGGTGTGTGTAACACAGTACCATGGAAGTTTAGAGACGCTAACGTGTCATCAATCGTTGCGAACCGTGGGCCAGTCGCTCTAACACAACTTTTAAAGAACAGAAGCTGACAGATTTGGTAAAGCACATAATTTTATTGCTGCCCTCTGATGCTATGCTGACATCTGGCCAGCAGATGTCACTTTTGATTTGGTTCTAATGATTCACAGCACTGAACCATTTCAAACCCTTAGCTTCAGTTGGGACAGCTGGGACTGTCTGAGTCGTTGTCCCAGTCCGTCCCTGATGTTCATCCACCAAACCTTCTGGTCACCCAGCTACCCAGCTAGCGGTTAGCATTTTGGCTGTTCCGGCCACTGCAGGCTATCCATCGGGTGGTTTTAACTTTGGTTTGGCGCCAGTTTGAATAAGTAATCGATGAGAAATCCCACCCTGGTATGGCCGGTGTTAACAAGCAGTCTGTGAAATCACGGTCAGTCTGGCTCGGTCTTTGAGATCTCTGGAAGATGAAGTCCCACATTTCTGCAGATTTCAAATCTTTTCAGGAAGACTGATGAATGCCTTCATCCCTTCAAGCTAAAAATGCATTTTTGCATCCTCAGAAGTGCAGACTAGAAAAATCACTAATTCGGAGACTGCAGAGCGAGAGAGTGGGCGTTGGTGGTTACAGTACAGGTGTGCAGGTTAACTTCCTGGGTGGGGAGGGGCGCTGCAGGATGACATGAAGCTGGTCCATCAGCCTGGCTGACCAGTTAAGATCTGCAGCTGAAACGGGATGCTTGCGTGGTTTTTGATGAGGAAATTACAATGACCCGATCAAAAGCTCCAAATAGTGGATTTTGAGTGATGATTCCTTTTAATTAGTCAAACTGATGGATTAAGTATTTTGACCTCTTTATAATAAATATATCAAGTATTTTGGTCACAGACAGTTTGAAACAAATGAATTTCAGTATTGGTTAAAACATCCTCTTGGAGCGACTTATTCCTCGATGCATTAACCCTTCGCTGCGTTCACTCAGCAAATGCTGTCAGATTTTTCTAGTTAAGCCTGATTTCAGTCATCAGATGATTTTCAAGGTTCAGTGCTTGTTCTGACTTTATAAAGCCACCATTGATCCACCTTATCACCCTAGACCAGTGATCCTCAGTAGGCGGCCCGCGGGCCCCCTCTTTGTGGCCCCCGAACCCTGCACGCACAGGGTCCCCTCTTGCCTCTGGGTCTTTTTTTTTTTGAGTGGCTCTCGGATCATTATAATTGAGAACCCCTGCCCTAGACACTTTCTCCTCACCAGCGAGGAGACAAATCGCAGCATTGTTGTGGGAGAGGAGGAAATGGGCTGGTCGTAGACTTCAGGAGGTGAAGTGGTGTCCTTATGTTCGTTGCTGGTGCAGATGTCCCAAAGCTCAGCCCAGAACCAGACCTTCATTCTGAGGTGGGACCTTCTCCAGGTCTTCACATGTTGCAGTGCTTCGGCTGCTTCAAAGGGTTTTCAGACAAATGTTGCGTCATATTTGTCGACATGTTGGTTGTTTTTATTTAATGTGCATTTGCAGGTGTCCATATTTCTGCTCATGTGCTCCAAATCTAAAACATCTTTTGTTTTTTCTAGCAGCACAGCGGGCAAGACTAAAAAAAGAAGGTCCCTGGTTATCTCCAATCCCGTCCCTTGCAACACGGCCTTCCCAGCCGACCACATCTCTATTCATTCCTCCACCCAAAACGGCAAAGACGATGCTTGTCCTTCACTGACGCAGCGGACTCCGAGCATCGCTGAAGAGAGCAACACACCAGAGAGCAGTGTCCCCTCCAAATGCTCCTCAGACTCTGATCTCAGCTCCAGCAGCACCAACTCTCCTCAGAGGCGATCGGTCTGCGATGAGAATGGTGACAAGAGCACACGCAGTCAGAGCCCAGAGGAGGCGGAGCTAGAAACAAAGCAGTCAGACTCTGTGCCAGGTGTACCAAAGTCTGAGGCGACGAGCCAGGAACTCGGCAGCCCTCCTGAATCTGAAGGTGGCGATACCCGTCAGGGTCTTGATCAGGACGTTGTGGGCGGTCCACCATCAGAGGAAGCTAAACCCAGACCTGCACCAGTTCCTGCTCCGCGTGTCTCCTTCCGCTCCACTGGTGGACGGCCCCTCATCTCTCCATCAAACCAGGAGAAGACGGCGGAAGCATCGGTCAACCAGGAGACATCAGAGTCCAGAGAAGACTCCACATCCCACAGTCCACCTGGTTTTCTGTACAAGGTGACGTTGATCTGGAGGGGCTACAGCTAAAAGCACTCTTCTGCTTTTTTCCTACAGATGCTGCAGAAAATCCAGACAATGTTTAGATTTCACAGATTTAAGAAGTGGACTTACCTCTGGAGGCGTCAAACACCTGAAGAGCTTACAGAATTAGTTTGATTGGTTATCTGTGCTTTTTAATATCTCTTTAAAGTCTTAAATGAGGTTTATGAAAGTTTTTAGTGAAAACCTCAAAATGCAAATTAGATAAATGCAGCTATTAGAACACTGATGTGTTAACGTACCAACAGCTGCTTGCTGCCGCAATAAAGAGACAGAGGGAGGAAGTTTTAGACCGAACAACCAATTTTATAACTTTCTCCACTAAAAACGGAAAAAACGATCTCCCTGTTGAGAAAAGCCCCATCGTGGGATACATGGATCACCAAAATAGGGCCTTAATTAAGTTCTTCCTCTTAAGTGATTTTTTTTCATCCATCAAGTTTGATTTTACATTCTCAAAATGTCATTGGCAAGAGCCAGAGTTTTTGTTTTTCAGACAAGTAGCAATAGCAGAAATGACTGGAACATAAAATAGGAATTAAATTCATGACCACTAACGACCCCATGAGAGGTTTTCCCTAGAGATACAAAATCCAGAATGATTTTGACATTTAGTCGTGAACACAAATATGTTTTGTTTTGGTTTAAAAGGAGTTTAAATAAAAATCCCAGCAGACGGTTTCTGAAGCTCAAACTTTCATTTACTGTTTGACACCAGGGGGTGGCGATGGAGAGCAACCAAGCGTCTGAAGGACAGCTGCAGTTTGAAGAGGGGGACATCATCCTGGTGCTCACTGGAACTCAAGAGGTGTGTGTGTGTGTGTGTGTGTGTGTGTGTGTGTGTGTGTGTGTGTGTGTGTGTGTGTGTGTGTGTGTGTGTGTGTGTGTGTGTGTGTGTGTGTGTGTGTGTGTGTGTGTGTGTGTGTGTGTGTGTGTGTGTGTGTGTGTGTGTGTGTGTGTGTGTGTGTGTGTGTGTGTGTGTGTGTGTGTGTGTGTGTGTGTGTGTGTGTGTGTGTGTGTGTGTGTGTGTGTGTGTGTGTGTGTGTGTGTGTGTGTGTGTGTGTCATCTTTTATATTATGAGGTGCTTCACAAGAAGGAGAATTTAAACTTAAAAGATTAAAAAATGAATAAAACTTATCAAAGATGGGAAAAGTAGAAATTGGGGTCATTTGTGGATCCTGGGAAAGGCTGAGTTGTTAGACAAAGCTGAATGGGGAAAGGGTGATCAAGGTCACACCAATGCCTGAACAGCTGCTTTTTAAAGGAGACAATTGAGTCCACTGATGTCAGGCTCAGGGGGAGAGAGGTCCAGAGTCTGGGGGCCACAGCAGCAAATGATCTGTCACCTTTGGTCTTTAGCCTGGTGCTGCACAACCAGTAGGCTTTGATCACTGGACCTCAGGGACCTGCTGGGGGTGGAGGGACTAAGAAGATCACCAATGTAAGATGGTGCTTGTCCATGTAAGGCCCTATAGTCCAGAACCAGGATCTTGAAATGAACCCTGAAGTTGACTGGCAGCCTGTCACACACTTCCTGTAAACAGAGCCAAAAACACACTGAGGCTTTTCATGGGTGTTCTTGTTGGTCCGTTACACATTTAGTGCTGTCGTTTAAAACCAAAGAGTGGTGTAAGGGTAAAATGTAAAAAGGATATTGTCTCTCATAGGGCTGCAACAACGAATCGATAATTTCGATGAAAATTGATTATGCAACGTTTCCCTAGCAGTTTTTAAAAATTTCCCCATGTAATCAGATTAATCGTGTCAATACCCCATCCGATTCATCGATTATCCAAATAATCGTTTGTTGCAGCCCTAGTCTCTCGTTACTGAACAGGAAATATTCCACATGTCTGATCAAATAATTCTCCAGTTAAGGTCTCAAATCTTTCACAAAACGTCCCTGATGCTCTGGACTGGGTCAGATCTAAAAGTATGTCCTGGTCTTCTAAATGTGGAAGGTATTTGTTCTGCTTCAGACCTAGCCTAGTGAACTAGACCAAATTCTTGCTTTGCAAAATAAATAATACATTTATTTAGTCTGGCTTGCCAGGCTACTTCAGACCCTCTTGGGACACTAATGAGAGGCTTATTTAGATGTAACTGAGTGGGTTTTATTACCGGGAACAGTAGATCCGGCAGCTGTCACGTATTTATTTATTTATTTATTTTATTGTACAAACTGATTTTATGTTGAGCCGTTTCAACTTTTAACTCATAAAAAAGAAGTGAAACTAGTCGTTGGCCCAGATAGAAAGGGTAGTGGTAACACCAAAACCAGCATGGTGATCAGTGGGGCGTTTGTCTGCCAGCACTGGCCACTTTGTTAGGGATTCCTGGTTAATAACAGGTCCGACCCGCTATAGTCTACAGAACTGGTTTACTGCTTCATATCTAATGGAGTCTCATCAATCACACATTTCAACGGTTTTCTCCTGGACTCTGGCCGCTCTGCTTCATGTTTGGACTGATTCAGTCGGCTTTTGCTCCAGAGCAGTCCTTTAAAGATGCCCCCAGGGTTGTTTTCTGGGTTGGTTGGATAGTGAAACACGCTCTGAAGCGTTATTTATGTGTCATTATCACAGCTAAAGAAGCAGATGTTGAATGTTGTTCTCACATGTGTTTGTTTCTGGCAGCTGGAAGGTCAGCTGATGGGGATCAGGGAGGAGACCTGGAACCAGCACCAGGATGTTGAAAACCACTCTGGGATCTTCTCAGGAAAACTAATCCAGCCTGTCCAGGAGGAGTGAGGCAACAGACCCTGTCACACTGTAATTTCTGTTCATCACGGCACCTCGGCTACACGCGTGTAACCACTCATGGGGAGGGTTCCAGAGGTTTAGGGTGGAGAAGCATTACAGACGAGCTCCATATAGATCTCCTACATGCGATGCTGATGCTGATGATGATGATGCCACTTGTTGCAATAGAACAGCTGATCTGATAACGGTTTACAAGTGTTTGGGAATGTTTCCGTACTTCTTGGTCTTTGTATGCTTTTAAATGTTTCTGAGCCACTGTGAAACAATGATTTTAATTTTTTATCTTTTGACAAAATCTTAATAAAGCTCTAAATAAGACAGTTTGTTGTTCTGGAGTTTGAGGCCTGGTGTGACCGTTCAGTAGTGGAGTGCTTCTAACTCTTAAGGGAAGTGAAAGTTTTTACCGACGCTGCAAGTCTTCAGGTGACAAGATTCACCTGAGAGCAAGCTCTGTGTAATCTGTGACCCAAGAGACGGGGGCAGGAAATGGTTGAGGTTCAGTTTATTGCAGTAAAGCTGCTAAACACAGTCAGCATATCTGCGTTATGTCACAAAAGAGAGGCTTTGACTTGATGTCAAAAAGAGAAGGTGGTTTCAAAATGCTTTTTCCACCGACTTGGCCGAATCGGAAGTCTGCTGGAAATTGAATTAACCAGCAAGTGATTCCTGTTTTATTAAATCCCATTGTTTATAAATTTGGCAAATCCAAATTTGACACGTTTGAGGGCATCACCAAAATTACCTCAGAAGTCACTCCTTCAGACACAAAGATGGTTAACTCTTTGTGTGAATGAGAAGTGAAGTCGATGTTAAACATTACTAATTATCTTATAATGTGTTTGAGTACTCATAGCTGGAGTGGTTCTCTTATCTTTCTGAGTGCTCCTTCTCTGTGGCCGTCTCCAAGTTTAGGTCCTCCACCACCTCTCTTACCCATGGTGTCCCACAAGGTTCTGTGCTGGGGCCTCTGCTCTTCCTCCTCTGCTTTCTCTTCAGCACTCCTTCTGCTGCTGTTGGTCTTCTTCTGAGACCAACAGCAGCAGCCTCCATCATTAGAAAGGTTTACACCAGCAGATCCAGAACTAGAGCGAAGAACACGATGGACCACTCTGTTAATATTCACCCTGCTTCCTTCAAGCTGAAGACTGAGGAGCCTCAGAGCTTAGACAACTCTACCTCATCTCATGTCCCTAACATACTGCTGAATGACAATAATAAATAAAACAGGTAGTGGTCAAAGGTGACCAACAGAACTGATTCATGCTATACGTGGCGGTGATAAAAACGGTATATGAGGTTTTACAGCACAGTGATTAAACAAAGATGCCCACTCTTTTATTTTATTTATTTACTTAACCTTTATTAACCAGATGAATTTTAAGTGAATCTAATGAACAGAGCAGAATAAAGTAGAAACACAAACCAGTGCATTAACTGGTGCTTTGTGGGGCGGATTGTTAAGTAAATAAAATAAACACTTTATTTACCACATTTAAATAAGTATGTTAATGTTGTAAGAGGGTATAATATGTTGCTTTTAAGCTTAATATATTACCTTTACTTATGACCAATAAGATGTGATATTCTACATAAATATAGAATATCAACCTGCTTGATCTTTCAATGTTTAATCAGAAGATTTAGGATTCTTTGCTTTTTCAGTGATCATAAACACACTTCATGTTAATTCAGACTGAGTCAGGTTTATAAAAATGAGGAATTTATTTTCTAAACAAATTATAAAACATGATCAACTATAAACAACTATGTGATGGATGAATACTGTATGAGTGGATGGAATGTGATGTGTGATGATCGAATGGTGTGTGATGTTTATCAGAACCTTGGATCTAGATGAAACTGAGTTCTGGGTGTTAAAAGAATTTGTGGTTGTTATAAGCTGAAGAATTGATTTATCAAAACAGCATCAGACGCAGTTCATGTAGTGCCTACCTATCCGTTCCTGGAGACCCCGTTTGGATCCGAGATGTCAAGGAGTCGTTGACCCCAATGCACGTGGCTCGTAGGAAAACCTCGATGTGACCAAGTCAGTCCGAGGATGCGTCCTGAGTCATAACAGATGGATAAAATCGTTTGCGTCTAGAACGGTTGGACTCTTGAGGAGTCAGAACTGTGTCCGCTTTGTTCTGCAGGAACCGTTTGCTGTGTCAGCTGCTGTGTGCAACAGGTTTCACAGCTTGTCATGAGATGCGGTTGGTTAAAGAGTTTTCCTCCGGTGGCCAGTCCGGAGTTCGGCTCAAAACTAACTAAATCACTCAGCAAGTGATTCTGTTTTAACAATTGCCATATTATGATTACATGGCCAACCAGAATTTGACATGTAAAGGGGTTTTACCAACCAACCTCAGATTCACACCTCCCTCAGATACAGGAGCTCTGATTTGTGGATCAGAAAGCAATATGTCATGAGATTACTATAGTCATGTGTATGAGTGTGTGGCTGATTGGCTTGTCACGTAGACTGATTATCAGACAAATGGATCATTGCAGGACAATATTCATTTCAACCTTATTAACTCAGGCAATGATTAATCAACCTTAATAATTTCAGCACATATTAATCAAACATTTCATTTAGCCATATTGTTCATTGATTATATGATTAATTAACTCAAATGAGCTGAAAAATGTTCACTTTTATTCAGAGGCAGGAGGAATTCTGTAGAAGCGATAAGAGGAAGCTCAAGGTCTTGAAACGGGAACACTGTGTGCAAAGCTGCAGAGGCCTGGACTTCAGCTGATAGAATAGCAGAATCCAGCAGATTAAAGGCACTAGACTAGACTCACCCCTTCTTTCCACCGGAGCCGTCAGCAGCACGTCTTGCTCGCGTAAACTGCTGCTTGGCCCTTCCCACGAGACGCGAAGCAGCAGGGGAGCAGCTGTCACCGACCGAGCACGAAGTCACACGAGTGACTTCGTCAGTAAACACAACAACAAGCAGGAGAAAACTACAACACGGCTCCAAAAGGTTTGTGTTTTATGTTCTGTCCGTTTTATAATCGCCAATACGGACCTGAAAAACAAAGGAGGCCGCTAGCTATGTGATAACTTCTCACGGGGCCGCACATTTAGTAACTTCTTTTAAAAGTAAAGCAACCGGAAGGCAGTACGTTTCTTTATTCTGAAAATCTCGGGAGCTTCTCTCCATTTCCGCGTCCGATTTCCTGTCTTTCCTTCCCCAAAAATGTCGAACTTGACCCGTTTCAGAGGCATCGCGCGTAGAAAATAGAACCGGCGCGTAAAGGCCGCGACATGCTGCTCCTGAGACGCGGCCGACTCGCGCTGCTGACGGCTCTAGTGGAAAAGGTTCTGTTGACCACAGCGGTTCCTATCAGCAGCTATGACGTGCTGCTGCAGTAACGTGCTGCTGACGGCTCCTGTGGAAAGCAGGGGTCATGTTTCCATATGACTGGATACTGAAGAGGTGAACCTGTAGATGAAAAACTGACCATTTCTGGACGCTGCAATGCTAGATCTAAATTGAACCATATCTAATTCAACAGTGTGTGGGAAAAGCATTTCCCCTTATAAGCTGATGAAGCACTGCCGTAAACACTGTTGTGTGACCTCTATGACAACATGCGTGTTTTTGGTCTGTGGGAGGAAACCAGAGTCCCCAGACAAACCCACACAGGTATGAGAAGAACATGCTAACTCCACTCAGAAAAGCTGCAGGCAGATTTCAAACCTTCAACACTTGACATGCAAAGCAGCTGAGCTACCCTTCCCCGCCATGCAACCCTTAGGCAATAAAACATCCCAGTCACGTACAACTCCACAGCTGATGTCATGTGGCTGAGAGGACAACCCGAACTTTACTGTGACTGTTCAGGCTGAGGGCAGCATCATGGAGGATGGTGCTGGTGGGAGACTTGGTAGGGGGGTGGCGGTCTGCAGACTGAGACATAACTGATGATTAAATTTTGCAGCTTGATTATCCATCCATCCATCAATTTTCATCCAGAGTCGGGTTGCGGGGGCAGTAGCCTAAGGTGAGAGACCCAGACTTCACTCTCGCCAGCCACTTGGGCTAGCTCCTCTGGGGAATCCCAAGGCGTTCCCTGGCCAGGTGAGAAGACATAGTCCCTCCACCGTGTCCTGGGTCTACCTTTTGGTCTCCTCCGGGTTGGACGTGCCCAGAAAACCTCACCAGGAAGGCGTCCAGGAGGCATCTGGACCAGATGCCCGAGCCACCTCAACTGGCTCCTCTTGATGTGGAGGAGCAGCGGGTCTACTCCGAGCCCCTCCCGGATGACCGAGCTTCTCACCCTATCTCTAAGGGAGAGCCCAGCCACTCTTCGGAGAAAACTCATTTCGACCGCTTGTATCTGCGATCTCGTTCTTTCGGTCACTACCCAAAGCTCATGACCATAGGTGAGGGTAGGAATATAGATCGACCGGTAAATTGAGAGCTTCGCCTTCTGACTCAGCTCTCTCTTCACCACGACAGACCGGTACAACGCCCGCCTCACTGCACATGCAGCACCAATCCGCCTATCGATCTCACGCTCCAGTTTTCCCTCACTCGTGAACAAGACCCCGAGATACTTAAACTCCTCCAGGTGGGGCAGGACCTCGTCCCTGACCCGGAGAAGGCATTCTACCCTTTTCCGAATCAAGCTTGATTATTATCTTTTAATTCACACTTTGATCCATATATCCAAAACATTTCATCCACTGAAGGAGGTGTTTCCACCAACTGACTGATCCTCACACCTGTCTGATTCAGCCTCCAACATAATGAATGAAATACATTGGATGGTAAATATATCTTTCAGTGAAGCGTTTGATGACATATTTATTATAAAACAAGCTGAACTCAGGGTCTGATCCTCTATAAATGAGTCTTCTCATCAACATGGTGACGTTTTAAGTACTCAGCAAAAATCCCCAAAAACTCCCACATAACAGCCATGTTGCTGTTGTGGTTTGTGTGGTTTCGTGTGTGTGTGTGTGTGTGTGTGTGTGTGTGTGTGTGTGTGTGTGTGTGTGTGTGTGTGTGTGTGTGTGTGTGTGTGTGTGTGTGTTTGTGTGTGTGTAACTTTGGCTGTGAAACAGATATTCTCCACCTGGCTAGCAGGATGGCCAGAGGAAAATGAAAGCCTTTAAACTTTACAACAACCCACCAGCAGAATGATGGTAGAAAAGCAGAAGTAGGTGTTTTCGTCTGCTTCTTTTCTCAGACTGTTCACCTCAACACAGCAGCTTTCGGACACACTCATACTGATCCATGGCCAAGAATACACTCTTTTTCCAGATATCTCAATCAAAACTGTTTAAATGACCTAGTTCTGCT